TATAAACAGAAGCTGAGAGTAGATGAGATAACGCTGGGAAACAGAAAGGAAGGATAGAGTGGAAGCTGGGAAAACAGTACATTTAAAGTGCTGAAGGAAGAAGTGGGGGCTTCTAGAAATAACAAGAAATGGTCAAAAAACAAAAAAGAAAACTTAAGAGTCTTAATGTCCCTGAAACCATACAAAAAGTGAGTATTTAGGAAGTGGTCATCAATGCCAGATACTTCAAAGAGGTCAAATAAGAACTGAAAAATGTCCTTGGGCTTGGCAACTTAAGTCAGCTCTGACCCCAGTGAGGGCAGCTGCAATTGAAAGGCAAGGCTAGAAGCCGGATTACAGTGCATGGAAATGACTTCTAAACCTCACAAGATAGTTAACCCAGTCACTTAGAAAGCCATTGTATAAAACACTAACTGCCAGGAGTGAGGTTTCTGCTATTCCTTTAAGTGCCCGCCACACCCACTCCACCAGCCCCCCACCAACCCCCCACCACCTCCTGCAGGACTCCCTGGAAAACAGACCCCAAAGCAAAGGAAAATTCATTTCCATCACACTGACCAAGCCAGAGCCTCCAATCTCACTATCCTATCCTCCTCAACCCCATACTTAGTTTATGCAAGAAAACAGCAAGGGTTTCTTTGTACTTCCCCTTGCCCCCCTAACAATACAACCCAGACAGGCGCAAATGAAAACCCAAAGTCCAAAGGGGTAGTGGGGGTGGGGAGTGGGGAGAAACAGGTGGCGTTGGGTGAAGAACAGGCCTCAGAATGCATTTGAAAGAAGAAAGCTGTCATTTTAATATAAGCATATTGGTAGGGAGTAAACCCAATATTTTTAAGTTGGGGGTCTGGCTAATTCTTTAATTCTATAACAGAATTAATCAGACACCTGATTTACACTTACATGACAAAATTTTACTGACATAAAGACTAATCTCAAAAAAAAGTAAAGAAGTATTCCTAAATTCACTTCATTGAGTTGCAAATATACACAATTTAAAAGTGAAATTTATTTTGTGGAGAAGGAATAGTTCAATTCCTAACCCCCACCCCCGCCGCTTTTTTTCTGGGACAGAGTCTCACTCTGTCACCCAGGCTGGAGTACAGTGGTGCGATCTCAGCTCACTGCAACCTCCACCTCCTGGGTTCAAGAGATCCTCCTGCCAAAGCCTCCTGAATAGCTGGGACTACAGGCGCATGCCACCACACCCAGCTTCCTAACACCTTTTAATACTTCTGTCAAACAGAGTGAAGTACAACTTTCTCAGCAAGACATGATTTTCAGGCAGAGAATGAAATACTCAAGTGCACCCATGACACTACCAATAAATAAAACCATCAAATCTTACCATATTTTAAAAAATCAGATTGTAATAACTTTTTAAAAAATTTCTACTTGAGAGCCCTAAGTTATCTATGTGTTCCCACTGAATAAATCATGAAGAAACTACAGGCAGGTTGATAAAAAGGAAGTAATTTTCACTTGACATTTTCTAATGATATCGACGTGTGGACAAAGTGACAGTATTATATAACATCAAGAAGAACTAGCTCCTTGGTTCACTGATACTCAGCTGCTGCAGAAAAGTAACTACAGAACTAAGGGAAAAAAAGGTAAACATCATCGAACCTTTAGAAAGATTTGTCCTAATTTCAAATAAGCTGTTTACTATAAAGAAATCCTAAAAATCTTCCAAGGTGCTGATAGTTGTTTTTCTTGTTAGTTTGAGTTTTTTTAAAAAATTAACTGATTAGAAAAAAGAGGTTATTCGTCTTTGATAACTAACACTGACCTGCTTTGTGCAGACTAAAGCATGCCTTAATGCCAGTAGCTTATAGAAAAAGAACAGTTATTGCTTAGCATATTGAAGCCAAAATATGCTCCATCAATCACAATGAATAGCTAAATTGAAAATCCACTTTGGACACTGAAACTTCTGAGTTTAAGTACAATAAAATCTCCTTACAGAATTTCTTCACTGAAAGTATTTTTACAGTATTTTAAGGTGCTCACATCTCGCATGTGATTCTCACAAATAGGCAGTTCAAAGAGGTACGCCATTATTATAACCCATGTGTAGTAATTTCAGTAAACTGAAATTTCTGAGAGCAGCAAGTGCTATGGCCTGAATGTTTATAATTTTTGTGTTCCACCAAAATTCATATGCTGAAATCATAACCCCCAGGCTGATGGTATTAGAAGGTGGGGTGATTAGGTCACGAAAGCAGAACCCTCATGAATGGGATTCGTGCTCTTATAAGAGAGGCCCCAGAGATATCCTCACCTCTTCCAGAATACGAGAATGCACTGTCTAAGAACCAAAAAGTTGGTCTTTACCAGACACAAAATCCGACATCATCTTGATCTCAGGCTTCCCAGCCTCCATAACTCTAAGAAACACATTTCTATTTTTTTTTTGTTTTTGTTTTTGTTTTTTTTGGAGATGGAGTCTCGCTCTGTAGCCCAAGCTGGAAGTGCAATCTCTGCTTACTGCAACCTCCACCTCCTGGATCCTGGTTCAAGCATTTCTCCTGCCTCAGCCTCCCGAATAGCTGGGATTACAGGCATGCGCCACCACGCCCAGCTAACGTTTGTATTTTTAGTAGAGACGGGGGTTTCACCACGTTGGCTGGGCTGGTCTTGAACTCCTGACCTCATGATCTACCCGCCTTGGCCTCCCAAAGTGCTGGGATTACAGGCGTGAGCCACTGACACAGCCACATTTCTGTTGTTTTTAAGCCACCAGTTTATGCTATTTTGTCATAATAGCCTGAACAGACTAACAGCAACATCTCACTGTGCTCACTGAGTCACTCAGGACAAACGTGTCCTACAGGTCACAACATGTGAATGCAGCAGAAGTCCGTGATATGAGTTATTGAGACTCTTTGCAATGGGTTTCACTCTAGATTGGTTAACATGTGGCTAAATCAATACAGACCCAACTCAATATAACATATAATCACCAAATAAGGTCTAAAACTTTCCATTTCTCAAAGCTCTCCTCAAAGCCTACACTGTCCTTTACTCATTAACTCAGAGGAAACCACAAAGAGACCATAAATAAATAGCATGTGGTCACCTGGTTAGTTAATGGCAGAACAGGACCCAGGGCTCCAATTTCCCACTTGCAAGCCATTGTTGCTTAAACAGAAGATAACAGAGTACCAAAGAATTACCCACAAAGCCAACAATAAACTGAGGACTCACACCAATGTCTCTGAGAAGAGACAGACCTTTGTCTCTAAATCTTTACTTTTTTTCTTATCTTCTAAATTGTTTTTCACAGTATATTAAAAGTATGTCGAGAGAGTTCTAAACCAGTAAAAGAAATGAGAGATCTCTAACCATAGTGCACATATAGTCATGCAGGCATATAAAGCCTAACGTTTTTAAGGGAAAAAACAAAACAATAAAACATCAATGCTGTTGCAGAGTCTACAATAACAACACTGGTCTAAAAATCGTCAATAAGATTTTTGCAAGGTTATTAACTAAGGGAAACTATTAGAAAAATCTGTGTGGTCAAAACCAATCTCATTTATACAAAGTGTTGACCAAAACGACAATTTCAAGAAAGATAAGCTACAATAGCTTAAAAAGTAAGCAGGATTGACCTTTAGAATATTTACCTTGAATTCTAAGATAAGGGTAGCACCTCATTAGATGAATAGCTTTCACAAGCTTTCAAAAATACAGCTATTAAACTTGCATTAAATTTAATGTTCTATCACCCAACACGTTGAATGTAAAGTGCAATGTTTCATGACAATAGAACAGAATGACACAAACTTCAGTTACGCTACCAGCATAATCCTTAGCAATAAAAAAAAAAACTAGGTTATTTTAATTTATTATAGTTTGACCTCCAGCTTTTTCTTTCCTTACAATCATTAAATGGTTCTTAGTATCATCAGTTTTCTCTATGATGGCAACTTTCTAAAATACAAAGAACACCATAATCTCCTTGCTAACAATAGTAACCACCATTTGAGTGCCTCCCATGTGCCATAAACTGTGTCACCAGTTTAACGTATATTACCTCATTTCACCTTCAAAACAAAACTCATAAAAAAGTGAATGAGCAGGTCACCCAGCTGGAAAGCAACAGAGTCTAGATACAAACTCAAGTACATCTGAGACATTTCTGGTCACCATGTTGCTACTAACCCAAATGAGCACTCGCCCAAGGCACTGGGAATCAGAACTGATCGAGAACTTAAGAATATTCAATAGTTTTGTAGTCTCTTTATAGACATATGCAAGTGTGAGAATAACTCCTGGGAAAGGTAGGGAAGAAACATCTTCACCTGACATCATTCTTTAGAAACTCTATAGGATATATATATATATATTTTTGGAGACCTTGTCTTGCTCTGTTGCCCAGGCTGGAGTGAAGTGGCGCAATTTCAGCTCACTGTAACCTCCACACACCCCTCCCACCCAGATTCAAGAGATTCTCCTGCCTCAGGCTCCCAAGTAGCTGGCACTACAGGCTCGTGCCACCACGCCCAGCTAATTTTTTGTATTTTTAGTAAAGACAGCGTTTTCACCATGTTGCCCAGGCTGGTCTCGAACTCCTGAGCTCAAGCAATCCGCCCGCCTTGGCCTCCCAAAGTGCTAAGATTACAGGTGTGAGTCACTGTGCCTGGCCAATTCTTAACCTTTCTAGGAATTTGATTAAAAGATATGGATCTTCTTCCCAGAGAATCACATATAAAATTTTGCATTATTTTAGAAGGTTCAGACTCCTAAAGTCAATTCCATCCACACATCTCAGTGAAAAAAATTCCCAATTGATTGGGCTGAGAATCTACAGACTAAAACTAAGAAAGCACAAACTGACACAAAAAAAGTTCTTTGGAAATTGTTTTCAAATATTAGCATAGCTCTGTTCGTGTAAATAATCCTAAATTTCGAAGCTCTGACAGATCTACTGCAAGGAACTTACAGAAGGAAAGAAAAGAGGCTTAGATGCTGCCACTGATTGATACACTTACCGTTTTCCTGTGCAATTCTTGTCATTCAGGCCACCAACTTTGTTTATGGCTGACCAGGCTGTGAGAGCCACATATGGCAAAGAGGCAGCTTGAGTATGAGTGAGTGATTTGGGTTTGTGAGAAACCTATGTTTGAAGACAACAGTCAAAAACAAGCAATGACTTGCAAACCTATGAACACAATTAAGCACATTTACCTTCACAGGAATCCAGCTGACCCTTGAACAACAGGGTTTTGAATTGCTCAAGTTCACTTATACATGGATTTCCTGCCTCTGCTACCTCTGAGACCAGCAAAACCAACCCCTGTTCTCCCTACTCCTTCTCTTTTTAGTCAACATGAAGACAACAAGAATGAAAATCTTTATGATGATCCACTTAATGAATAGTAAGTATACTTTTATGATTTTCTTAATAACACTTTTTTTCTAGCTTGAAGACTACAGTATACAATACACATAACATATAAAATATGTGTTAGTTGACTTTTTTTTTTTTGAGATGGAGTCTTGCTCTGTCACCCAGGCTGGAGTGCAGTGTGGTGCAATCTCAGCTTACTGCAACCTCCACCTCCCATGTTCAAGTGATTCTCCTGCCTCAGCCTCCTGAGTAGCTGGGATTACAGGCGTGTGCCACCACGTCCGGCTAATTTTTGTATTTTTTGTAGAGACAGGGTTTCACCATATTTGGCCAGGCTGGTCTCAAACTCCTGACCATGTGATCCACCTGCCTCAGCCTCACAAAGTGCTGGGATTGTAGGCGTGAGCCACCGCGCCCGGCCTTAGTTGACTTTTTGTTATTGGTAAGGCTTCCGGGCAACAGTAGGCTATTAGCAGTTAAGTTTAGGGGGAGTCAAAAGATGTAGATGGATTTTTTACAGCACAGGGGTAGGTGCACCAACTCCTGCATTGTTCAGGGGTCAACTGTATTTTCTTAGATAAATCTATAAAATTATTTCAGTTCAGTGTTTGATGCACACCCCACTCCAAGGTTATCCCTATAAATATTGTATAGAATAGCTCTACCTGCCTCACAGAGGTTCAGTAATGTTACGTAAGCTATATTATTAGCTATAACTACTTCATTGTTTATAAAAAGACCACATCAATATTCCCATTAGTCCCGAAATAAACCCAAATAAACCATGAACTCTCAAAAACACATCCTAATTAGTTTTTGAGATCAGCTGTTTCCTTTACTCTCATTTTCTGGAAAAGAAATCTTTCTAGGTTTTCTCTAATCTCAGTAACACCCTTTTTCCCCTTCCTGCCCTCCCTTCTGTAGCCAATTTCCTCAATGTTAACTTCTCTCTATTCAATTTGTCAGGTCTCCTGACCATATTTGATTAGACTCCTGTTTTTCAAGTTATTCAAAACTGCTGGATATTTCCATGCCTCCACTGATGACTAATCCATCCTCTCCACTGCCTATATCTGCTTTTAACTATTTATCTAGCGTAAAACCAAGAAACAAACACAGCGGGGTTCCAGGTCTTGTTCCAAATCCATGCTCCATGAGAGAAAAATAACTACGTTAGCAGGCAGTGTTACTGAGTGGCACAAAATAGTTTTTTAATCTCTCCACAATTCCTATATTCTATCTTATCTCTTTAGAAACTGTCCATCAAACATAAACTAGATCTGAAAAACAACCAATTTATTTCAGAGATATTGTCAGTCTTTGTTTAAACTTTCTAATGCATGTCAGCAGGGTTGGTAAGTTACCTCATTCCCACTGACTACCACAAACTCTGAAAGAGTGCCTTGTTTCCAAGGAGGAACTGCAGCCCAGACCTGAAACACACACATACACACACAGAGACAATTTCATTAGAAACACAGGTATCTTCTGACCAAAGCTAAGCATGAAGGTGTTCCCTAATATATATCCTGTGCTGTGAAAAACCCAGAAGTCAGCACTACGCCAGGCAGGGGTATCATTTTCATGATATAAATTTATTACTTAGTATGATTCTGGATTTATTAAGTTAAACCACACTGGAAGCAGATGCCAGCATATCCTGCTGCATTTACTGACTACTTTTGAGTGTCAGTAAGACCACAGTCTCTGGGGCTTGAATCCTAGCTCCATCACTTATTAGCTATGAGACCTCTTTATAGCTTGGCTTCCTCATCTGTAAACTAGGCCTAACTTTATCTACCTCAGAGGGACTAAATGAGTTATTTTATAAAAAGCAACCAGAATAGTGTTAGCTATGATTATGAACTCACTATAATTTCTTGGTGTAAAAGTTGAAAGGCACAAGTTACAGATTATACCAAACTTTAACTATTTTAAAGCCATCCCATCCATAAGGTAGAAATAGTCACTTAAAGGCTCTTTCAAGGAAAAAAATAGCCTCAATCTTATATATTTCAAAGTCTTGCATTTCTTAAGTATTAAATTTAAAAAACAAAAACTTTAGTACAGTCAGGATATTTTGGAATTGTTTGTGAAAAAATGTAACAACAGTACCAAACCAAACGGTTTTAGTCAAAGCTCCATACATTTGTTGAAAAAAAGAAAACAGTTCATCAGCATAGAATATACTTCCAAAACAAACAGAATGAAATTTGCACAATTAGGAAAGGAACAGTGGCATTTCCTAACTCACCTCATCTCCAGGCTTGAAGTACTTCACATCAAGGCCACATTCCATCACCACGCCAGAGACATCCCGACCCAGAGTCAGGGGAAATTCTTCTCCTCTGGCTCTAATGTGTAAAGGATCACGCTTCATATTTAAAGCTGCAGCTCCATAACCACCTATAAAATACAATTTATATTTTCTCCAAATAAGAATGAAATGCTTTTAAAACTACTACAAGGTTATAGGGCAGTACAGTTTTAAGTCTTCAAGATGTAGATTATACATCATTCTATTACAAATACACATGCAAATGCATGTTCACTGCAACACTATTCATAACAGCAAACTCATGGAATCAACCTAACTGCCCATCAATGATAGACTGGATAAAAAAACTGTGGTACATACACACCACAGAATACTATGCAGCCATAAAAAGGAATGAGATCATGTCCTTTGCAGGGACATGGACAGAGCTGGAGGCCATTATCCTTAGCAAACTAACACAGGAGCAGAAAACCAAATGCTCCATGTTTTCACTTAAAATTGGGAGCTAAATGATGAGAACACCTGGACACTTACAAAGGAACACACACTGGAGCTTTACAGAGGGTGGAGGGTGAAAGAGGAAGAGGATCCAGAAAAATAACTAATGGGTATAAGGCTTAATACCTGGGAGATGAAATAATCTGTATAATAAACCCCCATGACACAAGCTTACTTATATAACAAATCTGCACTTATACCCCCGAACTTAAAAGTTTTTTTTAAAAGTAACCTTATACATTTTTGCCACTATATGGGAAAGCATAAAAAGATGGATGTAGTTCTTTTTTTAAAAAAATTTACTAGCTGGGCAGGGTGGCTTATGCCTGTAATCCCAGCACTTTGAGAGGCCAAGGTGGGCGGATCACCTAAGGTCAGGAGTTCGAGACTAGCCTGACCAAATTAAGAAAGACCGTCTCTACTAAAAATACAAAATTAGCCAAGCATGGTGGCACATTCCAGCTCCTCAGGAAGCTGAAGCAGAAGAATCGCTTGAATCCGGAGGAGGAGGTTGCAGTGAGCCAAGATGGCGCCACTGCACTCTGCCCTGGATAATAAGAGCAAAACACCATCTCAAAATAAATAAACAAATAGGTAAATTTGGAAAGTGATAATCACTTATTAAACTAAAGCCACTATTGCTCAAAACATTTTTGAAATTCAAATTTCAAAATTGTCGAATTGTAGTGAAATTGTAACTTTTACTATCTTTTGCTTTGTTCTTTGAAGATGATGTCTTTATTAACGTATTCATTCATGAATTTTCTAAACAACAAAGGTATCTGAAACCAGGTCTGGTGAAGATAAATATTTAAGCTGCTTTAAGTTAATAAATAAATAAGATAAGAATATCAAGTATTGGAGGGTGACAATAATTTATGAAAATGATCCCCATCTCCTTAAAAATATTTCTAGAATAACATCTTTGGAAAAAATTGGAATAAATTCCTGAGGGGATAAAAAGCCACCTGGTTGCATCTGTTCTGATGTGTAAAATCAAGTTGTTTTATTATACATATCTTTTTATTTATTTTTTTTAGAGATGGAGTCTCACTCTGTCGCCCAGGCTAGAGTGCAGTGATGTGATCCTGGCTTACTGCAACCACCACCTCCTGGGTTCAAGCCATTCTCATGCCTCAGCCTCTGGAGTAGCTGGGATTACAGGTATGCGCCACCACATCCAGCCAATTTTTGTAGAGATAGGGTTTTGTCATGTTGGCTCAGCTGGTCTCGAACTCCTGGGTTCAAGCAATCTGCCCACCTTGGCCTCCCTAAGTGCTGGGATTACAGGCGTGAGCCATCACACCTCGCCCATATCTTTTTAAGACTATTTACAGGTCAGGTGCGGTGGCTCACACCTGTAATCCTAGGACTTGGAGAGGTCAAGGTGGGAGGATTGCTTGAGTTCAGGAGTTCAAGACCAGCCTGGGCAACATAGTGAGACCTCATCTCTACTAAAAATTTAAAAAATTAGCCAGGCAGAGTGGTACATGTCTGTAGTCTCAGCTACTCAGGAGACTGAGGCAGGAGGATCACTTGAGCCCAGGAGTTTGAGACTACAGTGAGCCATGATCACACCACTGCACTCCAGGCTGGGTGACAAAGGGGAAAAAAAAAAAAAGAAGAAAAAGAAGATGTACATAAATATCTGTCTCAAAAAAAAAAAGAAGAAAAAGAAGATGTACATAAATATCAGCTAAATAAAACTTAAAGTATTCTTTTGATTATAATTTTTGGGTTCAAATAAATTTGTTACTCTATAATAATCCAGAATAGTTTATTACATGGCTTCCACATATAACGTGATTTTTCTCAAAAAATAAAAAAGTATCTGTTATTCTCTCTTCTGCCTGATATTTCTGAGAACATGTCTGCCAAGTGAGGCTCTCCATAATAGGCACCCTGCCCACCTCTCCAGTGTCATGTACTACTCCCTGCCCCATACAATGTGTGCTCCAGTCACTAACTCACTCTGTACGTCTCTCTATGACTCCACAACCACTCATGTGGGCAATCCATTAGATTTCAGGGATGAGAAGCAAGCAGCAGAAGAGCCTAAGGAGTCCGTTTAAAGGCATTCAATGCTGCTGACAGGGGAGACAGGTTTTCAAATAAGGTCCAAAGCTGCTAAGAGGCTTTAAAACAAATAAACCTGGATCTAACAACATACAGACCTTTGCTAACCTGGCCAAGAGCAGCTGCTTGTGGTGTGCTTTTGAAAGAATGGGAAGTAAGGGACTAGAGACCATGAGACGACTGAACTCTCTTTAAAATAGTTTTGTTGTAAAGGAAGCAGAGAAATGGAGCAGTAGCTAGAAGTGGTAACTGGGATGGACAGAAGACTTTTGAGTGGCTTTTTTTCTTAAGGAAGGAGATAAAATAGCAAGTCTATATGCTAATGGAGATGATCCAGTAGAAAAGACTGATGATGCAGAAGATACCTGCTGGAATGATATCCCAGAGTAGGTGAGAGGGGATGGAATTAGAAACACAAGCCAAAGGCTGGCCTTACGTGAAAGCAGTGACAGCTAATCCATACAGCAGGAAGGAAGGTAAAAGATTCGGAGAGAGACGCTGACAGGTGGGTAACTTGCATGAGTTGTGTTTCTAATGAAAAATCAAGATACATGGGATAAAGTGTTTGCAGGGTGGGAAAGTCCTAGAAAATCTAAGCTGATGGCCATTATACCAACATTATACATTTGCCATCTGGCCAATTAGGATTACATTGTCAGAGAAAAAAAAAACTTCCCTGTAATATTCACAAGTCACGTGCTTCACTTTTCCTGTCTTACATTCCTTTTCCACTGCTAAAAGATAATTAAACTATTTACTGAAACCTCTATGTGGTTTGAACATCAGAAGTGGACACTTAGCTATGTCAAACTTTAGCTGCTATTTAAGAGCTGCAAAAAGGTTTCAGTCCTCTTTGAGGTACAGAGCCTGCGGCTCAAAGTTGTTTTTAGTTTTCTTGGTCTCCTGATATGCTAATATATCAACCGAGTAGCCCTGGTTCACTGTTACTAACAAGCCCGGAATCCAGAATGTCGTTAGCTAGCAGTTAGTAACTGAGGACATGCTTGGTGACACAGATGACTGAATGGGGCCCTTAAGAGCTCCATCACATTGACAGAGGTTGCTACTTGGACTTGTTCAGAGAATTGGGCCAATTTGAAAAATCCTAAATTTGTCATCTGTTTGAAGATTTTAATCCCATCTAAAGACACCAAACTTTGTTGGTATGATGCTGTTGGCTACATCTTTTTCCTATGTTAAAATTCTTCATTTATTTAGCCATTTCTGTAATTTATTATTTTATGCCCAACAGTAGTGGCCATCACCAGAAAAACAGCCAGGCTTCATCTTTCAAATGAAAAAGACAAGTCTCCTGCCTTTTTGTCAAGGGAAATAACTGCTTCCTACAGTTTATAATCTTCTACTCATTATTTTATTTCATCAAGCTACTGTTTCAGGTATCTTCTCCAACAACAATAACATATCCTCAAAAAGAATTTGGGCAGGAGAGAAAACAAAGAGGATAACTTGCGATCAACATTACCCAGTCAAGTCATAAGAAATTAAGATGTTTCAAGAATGCTATATAAAAGTAAAATGTTTTACAGTATTATGTTATTAAACAGCAGCCAAGAAAAGTCCAGATACAGGCATTCTGTTTAAATGAAAATATATACAACATGAATTATGCATGCACATTTAAAGAAATAAAAAGCTAACAGATCTAAATGAAGACAAAATGTAAAAATTACACATGGATAAAATACTGCTAACTGAAGTTTGTAATCTTATGTCAGAACAAAACTATAAAATGGCATAGAAATAGTGACTGAATGACAACTGCATATGTGAAACACTGAAACAGGTTGACAAAGCATGGGATTGTTCTTCAAAGAGCTTACAATCAAAGGAGATGAAAAAACATGCTGATCACTGAGTAAAAGTTACCACCAAAAGAAATACCTTATAAAAAACTGAACTCTCTTCAAGCCTAATGTAAAAAGAATAAATGAAAATGACATGCCCAACTGGTAGTGGCAATTATTACTTCTAAACAAAGAATACAAATGTAGATTTCATGAGACAGTCACAGCAAAGTCATTTTAATTCATTATTAACAGAGCTTTTCAGCCACACTTACTTTAAAACTCCAAAAGTCTTTCCCCAAACCTCTTCCTCAAATAAATGTGTGAGTTATTCTATCACATTGTCTTAATAGGTGCTCTCTGACAGAAACATAATCCAAGCCACATGTGACATTTAATATTTTCTGGTAGCTACCAAAAACGTAAAAGGGAACATATGATATTTATTTGATATAGGAAGTAATGTTTTATATCAAGTTAACATGTAATCAATATAAAATTCTTAATGAGATATTTTACACTCCTTTTTTCTTACTAAGTCTCTGAAATGTAGTGTGAATTTCACACTGACTGCACATCTCAATTCAGACTAGCCACATTTCGACTGCTCGATAGCCATATGTGGCTAGTGGCCACTATATTGAACAGTACAGGTCTGGATATATTCATTAGTTAAAAGTAACAGCATTCAAATTTGGAGTCAAAGGACCTAAAGACAGTTACTCTAGACTTTATTTCCCTAATTCAGAAGTTCTCCAAGTTTGGTACCTCCCCAAGATCTTTTCAAGGACTCTAAAAGATCCTTTCTTTTCCAATGGTCTATCTATGTGATTTTTCTTTGTCATTTCAAAAAACATAATACAAAATTGAATACAAAAGTACAGTTGAAAATCCAGTATTTATTAAACCAGATGGAGACATGTAAAAGCATAAAACAAGGCTAGTCTTCTCACTTTTTTTTGCTTCTTTTTTGAAAGATCAACTCCTACCTGTTTTAGTGCTTCACCTATGTAGTTGTCTCTCAGTCATTATTTTTATGTCATTCTATATTTTTATCCTGATTCAACTTTGTAATGTTAACACAAAAGGGGTTTACTGTATTTTAAATAAATACATATTTTAAAATTTGTTTTAATTATTAATGTAAATATCAATAGCTACAGCTCACATAAACAAAAGCCAAATAATTTTTAGGACTGTAAAGAGGTCTGGAGATCAGGTGCAATGGCTCATGCCTGTAATTCCAGCACACTGGGAGGCTGAGGCAGGCAGATCACCTGAGGTCAGGAGTTCAGCAACAGCCTGGCCAACATGGCAAAACCCTGTCTCTACTAAAAATACAAAAAAATTGGTCAGGCATGGTGGCAGGTGCCTGTGGTCCCAGCTACTCAGGAGGCTGAGACTCGAGAATCATTTGAACTCAGGAGGCAGAGGTTGCAGTGAGCCAAGCTGTGCCACTGTACTCCAGCCTGGGCACACAGCGACACTCTGTCTCAATGAAAAGAAAAAAAAGGAGGTCTTAAACCAAACAATGAGAATTGCTACCCTAACCTATCATACCACTCCTGGAAAAAAGAGAAAAAGGAAACAAAGTCACAGTCTCAGTATTTTCATACTTACCCATAAATTGCACAAAAATGGTTTATTCTATCATTAACCTTAATTTAGTATTTGGATATGTACATGAACAAATAAATTCATCATGCATAGGTCATATAAAAGAATTGTTGGCCGGGTACAGTGGCTCATGTCTATAATCCCAGCACTTTGGCAGGCCAAGGCAGGCAGGTCATGAGGTCAGGAGATCTAGACCATCCTGGCCATGGTGAAACCCCATCTCTACTAAAATGCAAAAAATTAGCCAGGCATGGTGACGCATGCCTGCAGTCCCACATACTCAGGAGACTGAGGCAGGGGAATCACTTGAATCTGGGAGATGGAGGTTGCAGTGAGCCAAGATTGTGCCACTGCACTCCAGCCTGGTGAAAGAGCAAGACTCCGTCTCAAAAAAAAAAAAAAAAAATTGTTATTATGGAATATTACACAGCCATAAAAAGGATGAGTTCATGTCCTTTGCAGGGACATGAATGAAGCTGGAAACCATCATTCTCAGCAAACTAACACAAGAACAGAAAACCAAACACCGTATGTTCTCACTCATAAGTGGGAGTTGAACAACGAGACCACATGGACACAGGGAGGGGAACATCACACACCAAGGCCTGTTGAGGGGCTGGGGGACTAGGGGAGGTATAGCATTAGGAGAAATACCTAATGTAGATGATGGGTTGATGGGTGCAGCAAACCACCATGGCACATGTATACCTGTGTAACAAACCTGCAAGTTCTGCACATGTATCCCAGTACCAAGTGAGCTCAGCTGCCAAGACCCCCACCCAGGCAGCGCTGAAGGAATTGAGAAGCAGAGACCCAGACAGAACAACAAAGTGGGACCATCCCAGGGGCCAGCAGCCTTCCGAGATGAGAACCTCAAGGGGCTGACAGCATTCCCAGCTGAAGACCTTGAGCAGACTCTGACCCACACATTTATTCTCTCTGAACAGGTGATTATTATTAACAAACAGATGTTTGGTATTTTCTGATAACACAAAATATGCCAAGTAGGCAGCTGGTGCCTGCTTACCACTGATCACAGACAAACTAAAAAGTATTCTCCACGAGGGAGCCAGTGGGGCAGGGTCAGATGTCCCACGCTTAAAGAATTGTTTTAACTGGTGTGTGATTTTTATATATTGTCCTGCCACTTTAGAATGCCCCAAGTAGTTTTCTACTTGGGGGGGTGGGTGGGCCCTAGGTTTTCCTTGCCATTTTTCTTCCTAGCAAACAATATATTCTATCATATACTCAGCATTTCTCAATATTCAACAACTTAACATTTCTCAACACCCCAGAACTTAAAATATAATAATTAAAATAAAGAATTGCTATTGAAGCAATCTGTTGAATATCACTGTAGATCTACACATAGTCCTTCAAAACACTGACCCATGGTTACACTAAACTGCATTTGGCAGCTTACCTAAAACAGAAACTGATCTATGATTAACACAATCATCTCAAAAGATGTTTTCCGATTTCTTCAAAAGACATATGAATTCCCACAAGCAAGACTGATAATATTTTTGTCATTATTTTCCAAAGCGAAATTAATTCACAATACTAAATCTTTTCAGCACTAACATAAATATAATAATTGTATAGTATATATTTTAGGAAGTTAGTGCTCTCCAAGCTTTGTCAGTACCATCCAAAAGAAATTAAGATAAGAACATTCCTTTAGAATAGAGCATAACAGGAAAATAGATCTTAAGTGCTAAGGGCAGAATGCAATAGCAGAAATGAGGAAAGTACTATGTCCACATCTTGGAGTCCTGTTCTGTTGCTTTGTCTACTGAACAATAAAGAAACCTACAAGTAATGGTAAAGAGAACTCTTGACAGAGTCCCTGGGCCTTACCACGCCAGGAAGTTCAAGGCTTCCTCTTGAACTGAGTGGGGGATGGGTGCCTTTCAGTCCTTAGGGTGTACTATAAAAATGCAAATTCCAAGTGGGAACGGTGGCTCATGCCTGTAATCCCAGCACTTTGGGAGGCCAAGTCGACTGGATCATGAGGTCAAGTCGACTGGATCATGAGGTCAAGAGGTCGAGACCATCCTGGCCAACATGGTGAAACCCCTTCTCTACTAAAAATAGAAAAATTAGCTGAGTGTGGTGGTGTGCGCCTGTAGTACCAGCTATGCGGGAGGCTGAGGCAGGAGAATCATTTGAACCCGGGAGGCAGAGGTTACAGTGAGCCGAGATTGCACAACCGCACTCCAGCCTGGTAACAGAGTGAGACTCCATCTCAAAAAAAAAAAAAAAAAGCAAATTATGAACTTACTAGGAAACATAACTATTACCTCCAAAGCTTGTGACGGATCTCAGAACACCACAAAGTTCCCAGGACAGAAATTTAGTTCCCAGGACAGACGTAGGCTGGGCATGCACCTCTGTAATCCCAGCACTTTGGGAGGCAGAGACAGGCGGATCACCTGAGGTCAGGAGTTTGTGACCAGCCTGACCAACATGGTGAATAAAACCCGGTCTCTACTAAAAATACAAAAAAAAATTAGCCAGGTGTGGTGGCACACACCTGTAATCCCAGCTACTCAGGAGGCTGAGGCAGAGGCAGAAGACATTGCTTGAACCCAGGAGGCGAAGGTTACAGTGAGCTGAGTTAGGGCCACTACACTCCAATCTGGGCAGAAAAGAAAAAAAAAGTTAGCTACTGGCCGGGCGCGGTGGCTCACGCCTGTAATCCCGGCACTTTGGGAGGCCGAGGCGGGTGGATCACGAAGTCAAGAGATCGAGACCATCCTGGTCAACATGGTGAAACCCCGTCTCTACTAAAAATACAAAAAAGTAGCTGGGCATGGTGGCGCGTGCCTGTAATCCCAGCTACTCAGGAGGCTGAGACAGGAGAATTGCCTGAACCCAGGAGGCAGAGGTTGCGGTGAGCCGAGATCGCGCCATTGCACTCCAGCCCGGGTAACAAGAGCGATACTCCGCCTCAAAAAAACAAAACAAAAAAGTTAGCTACAGACACAGCTCTCAAGTCTAAACTTACATATTTAAGAAAGCATGGCAAATATAATGCTTGACATTATATAAGCATATAAGCATGACAAAATATAATCAAGCTTATAATTTGGCAATATAAATGACCAGAAGGATACTCCGGTCATTGCAATTTCAAAATTTTGGAAATAATATTTGCAGAGGTATTGTTAAAAACCTAAATGATTTCTTTGTGTTAACCAAAGAAGCGTAGTCAAATAATTTCTTTAAACCGCATACCTTAGGAAAGTGATTTTTTTTTTAAAAAGGTAAAAATATCTTTTGAAAACTTACTTCTCATATTAACGTCTATAGGATTTACACTGGCAGCGTGAACTCTGACAATTACTTCATTTGGATAGTGTATGATAGGTATCATCATGTTCTTAGTAAATCGAAGCACTTCATTCTTCCCATATTTATCTATCACCCAAGCAGGCATAACAGTGCTCCTTGGAGAGGTAGTACTAATCTTTCTAACTGAAGGCTTCTGGACAACTATGCTTCTCCAGAAGCAAACCACAGTACATGCATTTCTTCTAAGTACACAAGTCTTCAGAAATTCCATCGTAAGCTGGTTGAACTGAGTGCTCAAACTTGGACTGGATCAAATTCTCACCCCTGAATTCAGTTAACCGGGCTAATTTCAAAATTAAGCATGCAAAATGAGCATTCCAAAATGAAGTTAATCTAATGGAGAAACTTTATGAAGAATATGGAACTGTTATTCTGCTCTTGGCATATGAAATGCTTTAATTAACGTTCCAGTCAGTATTCTGTCCATTCTCCTCCCTCCCTTTGACCCCCTCCCCTTTAAAAAAAAAATGAGAAAAGAAAAGCCGGTATGCAACCCCTCTAGATCCCTGCCCTGTCCTGGGAGCCCTCGGCGGGACAAACAGACACCGCTCACGATCCAACGCCAGAAAATTGAAGACTCGTCGGCTGCCGCCGCAACCCTGGCCAGCAGTCTCCTTTCCGCGGCGCTCTCCTTAGCCGCCGGTGTGGCTTTGCGGCGCCAACCAATCGCCTGCAAAGATCATTTCCTCGGGCTGCAATTCAACCAATCCAAGTATTCGGTGTTGAAGGGCTCAGTGACGATTAAAGATGGCTGCGCCCATGTAACATCACTAGCGACCGGTGACCTCTTTTTCCTCCTTGCCTGGCTCCTATGGTAGCAGTCTGGGCAAGGGGACCATGCTGGGCCAGACGCTCCGAGAAGTGAGTGGATTTGGCCCTCTGAGACCCCTGGGAGGGCGGAAAGTTCAGCGGAGTCGGTTGATAAAAGACTCCCTGGGCCTTACCATGTATCTTGGCCCACCTCGCTGCCTCCTCTTGACCTGAGTGGGGGATATGTACCTTTCTGTACTTAAGGTGTACTTGCTGTACCCATTCAGGAGTTAGGCCCTTAGGGGAAATATCTTCACCGCGGAGCTGTAGGGTGGTGAATCGGCCTCTTAGGTGCTTAGACCTTTGCTTTGGTATGGGTCGGGCTCCGGAATGGTGTTGGAGTGGGCTTTGCCAGATAAGGGGGGCTTTTCGGGGCCACTTCAGGCTCTGTCCCCCACATTTAGCTGCAGTTGTCGCTAAGAAGCCCGGCAAAACTGTAGTTTGCAAAATTCAAACGAGTAATTTTTGGCTTTTTTGAAAGAATTCATTCTGTAGGATTTACCTACCGCTAAAATACCAATGATTCCCTAACCATAGTCTCCATTTCCTGGACGTCATGTTTGAACTCTAGGCTGTTTTTGTGATGCCTTCTGGACAGTTCCTCCAAATGTCACATAAGCACCTCAAATTCACTTTAGTGAATGTTGAAGTCATCACTGTAACGGGAATACCTCCTTATCTCTCAACCCCCATCTTAAGAAACAAACAAAAGCTCTGATATTTCTGAATTCTCAATAGACTCTTTTTAATGGCACAACTGTTATCTCATTTGCCTTTAGAGTCTTCCTCATCGTTCATATCCAATAAATCACTAAGCTCTGCTAATTCTATCCTGCAGATATGGCTGTAATCTGCCCTCTCACGTTATTACTGCTGTTACAGCTTTCTTTAATTCAGGTCTTTTTGCTTCCTGAAATTTCTTCTAAGTCCCTCAACCTTAGAACTGTCTGAAGGCCCATTTCTATCAGAATCACCTGAGGCACCTGTTAAAACCAAAACTATGTCCCATTCTAGACTTAATTAGATCTGTGTGGTAAGTCCAGGAGTATGGTTTAATGGGGGATCCAGGTGATTTCTGGTAATAAGTAGGGGCTGAAGACCTAAACTGCCTTCCTTCCTCCTTTTTATTCCACCCTAGAAGTTGTCGTTTTGTTTGTTTTTCCCAGCTGGCAGCCTGAATTATAATTATAGATGGCTATAGTATGTAATGGGAAATTTAAATCCACAGACTTTAAATAATAAATAGTTCTTTCCCAAAATACATTATTATTTTACCATTTTGAATTGTATCAAATCAAATTTGTTCTTTAAAAAAACACCCAAAACTTGTTTTAAAATGAAATACAATCTATTCAAATATGGTATTTTTTTGCCTTTTCCACTGCCGATCTAAGTAACAGAAAGAGACTCTAAGAAAATATTTATTTTAGAGTAGCAATGCAATGGGAATATGTGTGATATAGTAAATTATGTGCCTATTTAAGGAGGTTGGGGGAAGGGATGTTTTTAAGGACAAAATGAGAATTACATAAATTATTTTGAATCAGTTATCATTGGCTACAAGGATGAGTCACAAAGGTGGCATCAGTCCAAGGTTGGATGGGCAGTTGCTGGTCAGATGTCCTTACAGAAGTATCTGTGTATGTGTGTGTGTAAGGTTACAATGGCCTTTGGGCAAGGTTGTGTTTTTTGCAATCTCATGATTATTCTTTTTAAAAAATTTTTAATGGGTACATAGTAGGTGTATGTATTTATGGAGCACATGAGATATTTTGATACAGGCATACAATGCATAATAATCATATCAGAGTTAATGGTGTATCCATCACCTCAAGCATTTATCATTTCTTTGTGTTATGTTGGGAAAAGCTGCAAAGGAGAAAGGACTTACAGAGTGCCTACATAAATTGGTTATAAGTAACATATAAACAAGGAACAACAAACTGCGGAAGCCCGCAGGAGGCCTCTGAGGAGGAAGTCCTCTTCATGCCTCATGTTCCAGTGTAGGGTGACCTCGGCTCTGTTACCATAACATTGTCCTCAAGGACATAAAACCCCTTCGTAGCACTGTGACATAGCCAGACTTGTAGGCTCCGTGTAAGGCCCGGGTTCCATCAGCTGTACATAGATAATAAGCTAAATATAACCACAGGTTCTTGTTTTGTGGAACTCCCAAACCACCACTGTTATCAATCCTTAGGATGACACACCACTTCCGGCTCACTGATTCACTCCTCCATCACTCCACCCCTACCCTATAGATCAAAGTGATTGTAATCAATAAATAGTGTGGATGATGAGAGCTGGGGCCTTCACTGTCACCTCCAGGGTAATAAAGTGTGGCCCCCCGGTCCCACTTTTTCTCTTAATCTTTTTCTCATTCCTTTGTCGCCACCGTACTTGCGGTACCCACGGGTGATGTAGGGCTGGCTCCCTACAGTGTTAAAAACATTACAATTATACTCTTAGTTATTTTTATATGTACAGTAAATTATCATTGACTGTAATCACCTGCTGTGCTATCAAACACTGTATCTTATTTATTCTGTCTAACTATATTTTCGTACCTATTACCCATTCCCACCCCTACTGCTACCCTTTCCAGCCTCTGGTAACCATCATTTTACTCTATCTCCACAAGATCAGTTGCTTTAATTTTTAGCTCCCACAAATTGGTGAGAACATGGGAAGTTTGTCTTTCTGTGCTTAGCTTATTTCACTTAACACTGTTCTCCAGTTCCATCCATATTGTTGCAAATGACAGGCTGTCATTCTTCTTATGTCTGAGTAGTACTCCATTGTGTACTGTAGGACATTTTCTTTATCCATTTTTCTGTTGGTAGACACTTAGGTTGCTTCCAAATCTTGGCCATTGGGAATAGTGCTGCAGTAAACATGAGAGAGCAGATATCTCTTTGCTATGTTGATTTTCTTTCTTTTAGGTGCATATATACCTAGCAGTGGGATTGCTGGATCATATGGTAGTTCTATTTTTATTTTTTTTTTTAGAGATGGGCTCTCACTGTGTTGGCCAGGTTGGTCTTGAATTCTTGACCTCAAGCAATCCTGCCTCAGCCCCCTAAGTGCTAGGATTACAGGTGTGAGCCACTGCAGCCAACCAGTAATTATATTTTTAGGTTTTTTTTTTTTTTTTTCTTTGAGACGGAGTTTCGCTCTTGTTACCCAGGCTGGAGGGCAATGGCGCGATCTCGGCTCACCGCAACCTCCTGGGTTCAGGCCTCCACACTATTCTTCAGAGTGGCTGTAGTAATGTACATTCCAACTAACTTTTCTTCATCCTCACCAGTATTCATTATTGCCTATGTTTTGGATAGAAGCCATTTTAACCTCATTGTAGTTTTGATTTGCATTTCTATGATGATCAGTGACGTTGAGCACCTTTTCATATACCAGTTTGCCATTTATATGTCTCTTTTGAGAAATATCTGTTCAGATCTTTTGCCTATTTTTAATTTGATTATTGGATTTTTTTTCCTGTTGAGTTCCTTATATACTCCGCTTATCAGTCCTTTGTCAGCTGTTCTTCTTCTCAGGCATTTGTACACGAGAACCCTCTCTTCTTGACCTTCCCTGGCTCCATTTGTCAGGATTTTAACACAAATGACTCTGTGTTGATTCTGACAACTGTCATGGCTCCTTGAGTGCTACCTTTTTTGTACTACTTCTCTCTGGTGTCATTGAGTGAGCCATTGTGAAAAACAACTTTTGCCTAATGGGGTTAAAAAAAAGAACTATTTAGGAGAGCTGACCCAAGGGAAGACTCAGAAGATGCCTTGGCATGATTACTTTTACTTAATCAGCCCTTTAACAAATACCTATTAATGCCTAGCATGCCAAACATTTGATGGTTATTTCCCCAGCTCTAAAACTACTTCTGTCTACTTTGTATTTTTTCCACATCACTGTACTGATGCCCTAAATTCTACTAATTAGGGATTAATTAATTCATACAAATTATCTTTTCTTTGAATTCTCTTTTAAATATGTACAGATGCCTGGGAAGGTTGAACAATTTGTTCACCCATTGTTGTAAATTATAACAGTTCAAATTTCTTCACAATATCTTAATTGAGATAATCAGTTGAAGAGGGGAAAATTTACTGGGAATTAGGGAGAAGGGCTGAAAATGATGGGGGCAATTTGGGGGATGTGAGTAGAGGCTTATGGTAAGAGAGGAGCCCTGAGAATAATAGGCACAAAAAGGAGGTAAGATACCAAATAGGTAAAATTTCTATTTGTCAATTTTACCCAGGTACATTCAGAAAGGGGAGGAATCTCACTTTTACCTTTGTCTTTTGTGGCATGATCCCAGTGTTTCTAGGAGCCAAGCACAAGGCTAATATTATTAATCCTAAAGTTTAAAGAATAATATATTCAGTTGGCTTCTTGAAGGTTCACCTTTAGAAAAACTAATCATTGTTCTACAGGGAAATTCATTCCAAATTTTAAACAACTGTTATTCATTCAACTAACATTTAATGAATACCTCTGTGTTCCAGCCACTGGGGTGTAGCATTAAAAACAGACAGAGCCGGGTGCAGTGGCTCACACCTGTAATCCCAGCACTTTGGGAGGCCGAGGCAAGCAGATCACCTGAGGTCAGGACTTCGAGACCAGCCTGACCAACATGGAGAAAACCTGTCTCTACTACAAATACAAAATTATCCGGGCATGGTGGCACATGCTTGTAATCCCAGCTACTCGGGAGGCTGAGTCAGGAGAATTGCTTGAACCCGGGAGGCAGAGGTTGTGGTGAGGCAAGATCACACCATTGCACTCCAGCCTGGGCAACAAGAGCGAAACTCC